CTCCTTGAGCACTTCAATTTCCCCAGTTTTGCCTGGATACACTCCTCGATGAGTTCTACAATAAGCAGCAGGAGCGATCGCAAGAGTGAGCACACAGCACTTTCTCTGATAAAGCGTTTTCATGCTGCTACCGTCCAGTATAGGGCTAATATTCCGAACTAATTAGTTATAAATGCTCCACCATTTGTGTGCATTGCATAAGTGGAGGATTTCCTCATTTGTATTACATGCACACCGTAGCTGAATAGCGTTAGAGACATGAGAAATTCTGAAGAAACTTTAGGATGGCATAAGCAATTGACGCGGCCCATTTTCTTCAAAAGAACAGAGCAATTCAAATCCACGCGTTAACCAAAATCAAACAACACCATTCTTAGTTTTCCGACACGCCGAAAACGATGGTTGCTATGCCGATTTACGAAATTTCCAAATAAGTCAGAAAACTGAAAAAATCAGGGGGTGGCATATACAATTGACGCGCACTGTATTACTTCTGAAAGCTGTTGCCAAAGGAGGGCCTTCTTAAGAAATTTTCCGGCGATTTGCTGTGTTTTTCTCCTTGCAGGACCTAATCACGTGCAGTGTCATTTTTTAACCCATCTACCATCTACGTCATTTATGGCATATATTTGGAAAAAGTAAATATTGATGAATCCCATTCGTTTAGTTCTTCCCCTTCACACCTCTATCGCATTCTGATCGCGTGTTCCGGTCCGTGGTCTCAGGACGGGACCTCTTGTTTGCAGCCTTCCGACTTAATGGTTCTTTCGTTTATTTTCCCACATGTCGACGGTGACATCAACTGTTTAGTGAGTTCTCAGTTTACTGCTGTTTCGCAGAATTGTGCTGTTTATAAAAGCTGGTGGTTACAGGCGAAAGAGGATCTACTTTTGGAATACACTGCTCGTCTTCTTGATGTTGAGCTGATATCCGGACTTCATCTCACTTTCCCAAATGTGCCACGTGAGCAGACGTTGCGATTGAAAACTCATATCAACACAAAACTATGGTAGTATCCAGTAGCTGACATTCACACATTGACGACGGCCCGTTGTGCGTGTTTCTCGACACTTTTTCAAATATTTCTCAACAACCAGCACTACACCTTTGATAAATTGGTCATTGGTAATGGAGTAGTACTTTCTGGATCTAATAATGTAGGCGGACGATTTTTTAACGTAAAAATGCCATGTAGCTGGAGCAAAACGATGCCCGTCCGCATAAAATCTGATCTGCATGCGCGTCATGCTGTCGTCAATGTGTTAAAATAGGTTTCCCTAAGTTTTGAATTTTGTTCTGAGTTGCCATTACATGTCATTTCTTTAAATTGAAGAAAAATTGTGTACTTTAATACATCTGATTATTCGGGTATCTTTTGCGGTTTGTATTACTTGACTTTCTTCTACTTAGAACAGAAAGTCACTATAAACAAATGCAGTTTTATCAGTGACACAGAGCCTTCTATCCAGATTCACCAAAGTGTCCTCTTGCATAGTTCATCAAAAATGTGTGATTTCCTTTCCAGATGTCCTCGTTCCATTTTACCGCTTTTTGTTCTATGCGCATCTTTTCACTTTATTTTGTTACGTTGTGGACTGATGATTTGAAGTTATAGAAATTAGCTAATTGTCAATGCAGTTGTGGCAAAGCGAGTCCGTTTAAAGAAATGTTTTATTAAAGAAGATTTGATGTTCAATAAATTTTGTATTTTTTATTGCGAATCTAATCAAGAAAAGTCAAATCAGGTGAGGTGGGCATTTCTATACTTATAATTAGACGCTGAGCTCAAACCTGCTTTCATTATCTGCTAAACTGTTTGAAAAAGGGTATGAACGCTTTTCACAAGAATGCGGAGTTAATGCTTGGGAAAAACTTCACGCCGGGTGGGAATCGAACACGCCCCTCTGGCTATTCGGGATGTATTATCAAATACATTTCCCCGGAGCACCATTTCACATCTGTATGGCTTCAATGATATACTCATCGTGAGAACCCACTCGTCTATCGTAATGAGCTGGTAACTGGTGCTACATGGCCGAAAGCTTTAGGAGATATCAGCTGCTAAATGGATCGAGGGTTCTGAAACAGCGTGCTTTCTAAGTGGTGGTTAATGGAACATTTTCTGGAATCAAAAGCGCTCCCAGCGGAGTCCCACAAGGGAGTGTCCTGTCTCCATTTTATTTATTCACGTTCGACCTGCCTTATTTGATTGAAGGTTTTGACGTTAAAGTGAAAATGTTTGCCGACGACCTGAAGATTTATAGAGGAGTTGGCAGCTGCTCAAATCTGCTTCAGCAAGCCATTGATGCAATCTCGCGTTGGTCGAAAACCAATCATCTTCCTTTATCTGTGCATAAAACCAAAGTTCTCCATCTCGGTCAAAACAATCCCAAAATGCAATACTATATTGACGGTTCCGTTCTCGGCGCAACTGATACGGTTAAGGACTTGGGCTTTCTTGTTGATACTAAACTGCGTTTTGAGGATCACCTGAAAAACATCATAGCGAAAGCCAACCAGAGAGTGTTTTTGCTTTTTAAAGGAAGCGATTACGATAAGGAATTTTCGCATCGGGGGAGAACCTGCGCCACACGGAGCAATTACTTGGCTGCCAAGGAAGCGATGTGTGGCCTCCCACGGCGAAAGGTGCTGTGGTTGCTGAGCAGGACCCGTGTGACGCTCCGCCCCCAGTGACGTGACGCCCACTAGTTTTGTTGATGATCTGGATGGACTGTTTGCTGTTGGCTTTTCATTTTGGATGATCATTTCCCTTCTAGCGGCTGTATCTTCCAACTTGCCCACGTATTGCCTTATCAATCAAAACACTATGCTTGTTGGCATGATGGCGGCTATCGGGGTTAACACGTCCGAACAACTTTCTTTACCGTCGCTCATCCATGGTCGAAAATG